AAATATGTTAGAACTTTATTGTCAGTTTACACTGAAATTAATTTTGCATCCTTGGAAAGTTGTGTTCAAGAAATTGCCACAGATTTGTAGGTACCATTGGGACTGTAAAGATACATTTATTAATTGGGTGACTGAAACTGAAATTGTAATGTAAGCCTAAACAGTCGCACCTTTCTCCTCTGGTCTTCCTGGAGATGTAACCCGATATCCCTGGATTACGCCCTGACAAGATCAATAAAGCATTTGTTTTCTTACGCCACCGTTGCGAGAGCCTGCTTAAAGCCAACTGCGAGTATGCACAGCATTTAAGCTCCATGTGTTGTTCATGGCAGCTTGCTCTAAAACAAACGGAGGTCAACGGGTGTTAACGAAAGAGTGTAATTATCCAACATGGCTGCACAAACCACCCGGAAGCTGGTTGTTGCTTGTGGCTATTAAAGGTCCAGTGTGTAACCTTGTAAGAATATATTGGCATTGACCTGAATATAGGAATTATTGTGTTTTCATTACTGTACACTGAGCCGTTTTTATCTATACATGTGGTTCTGCCATGTTGAACCACCATGTTTCTACAATGGCTCAGAATGGACGGACCAAACAACGGCTCTAGATAGGACCGCTGTAAATTATTGTCATCGTAGTTTTGCACAAATCTAGCACGTCCAAGTCCAGGAAGCAGACTCTTGACTTTTACACATGCTGCAGCGGTGGTCGTTGTTGTGCCTTCCCGCTCTATCGTCTTCTTCAATATCGACCATACACAAAAAACAAACTGCATATCATACAGCTGAAATTACAAATAGTGTCAAATGTTCTTCTTGCAGATAATTTACAGTTATCTTTATCACTCTCATGACTGATGAAATCAGTGACTAAAATAAAATGCTGGTGTTTTCTGAAGTAAGTAAACATACTCAGATCTCTTACACGCAGTAATTCCTACAGTGCTGGATTTCTATGACACGCTACATGTTTCTGCGATTGAGAATCATGCAATGAATACGAGATACGAGCAGTTTAAGCTAGCGCAGAAAAGAAAACACACTCACTGGAGAATAATCATACTAAACAGAGCAAATCCTGGTCCTCCTTTGACCTTTTGACCTCAGCTGGTGTCCTTTAAACCATATTCCCATAATCCCAAAACAAGCTCTAGATAGTGCCATTCACGTTTTTTGTCAGTGTAGTTTCTCCTTTGCACTTGGAAGGAGAGAGTGAAGGGTTGGAATTGCACTCTGCAACTACACCACTAAACCACTATACCTACACACTGGACCTTGAAACTTGCATAATGTGAGAGTGTTGTTAGCTCAGAATTAGAATTCTGTCTGCTTTGTGTATTTTCTGACCTCCTGGTTACCGTGGGGAGGGAGGGAGCGGAGGTCCTTATCAGATTGTGTTTCTCGCTCATTCCCCTGAGCCTGTCTACATGTTGGACAGTTTATCAGAGTTGAGTTATATATTGTGTGTGTGTGTGTGTGTGTGTGTGTGTGTGTGTGTGTGTATGTATATTGTGTGTGTCTCACATGTTACATAACATCACGTCACGGCTGCTTGGCAGAACACACACGTGATCTCATTGCTAAATCCCTGCTATCCTCTTTCCGTCTGACTGTATACTGTACATTGCACATGTAGCCTTCCTAGTTTGTGGTGTGTCTTTATGTGTGTGTGTGTGTGTGTGATGTATTTGTTATGTGTGCATGCACAAGCACATAGGACAGAAATGCTGTGATGTGGAGGCAGAGTTTATTGCTGTTTAATACGTTCCTACTTTGACCCCAACAGTAGCCGAACTTGTTTTGTAAGTTGCTTATCTAAATGTTAGATGTTTGCTTTTGTTGGTTTGTTTGAACGGGGTCAGGGGAGAAATAAATAAAAAGGGCACCAGCTGCATGCAGTCTGGCACCAGCGGGCATAAAGATGTGATGCATTAATTATGGTTAAAACCCTGGTTAGATTAAAATTGTTTTATTATGTGACTCAGATGAAGTATTTATCTTCATCACATATTCTTGCACACTGGGCCACCATAGAGGGCACTTACTCATGTTATGAACTGCTCTCACTGGGCCACCCTGTATAAATAAAGACTGAAAGAATGAATGGAAAACATAGTGGCACTTTGGAACTGAAGTAATCTATTTCTGCAAGAAAATTTAAATTGTACGTCATCTGCATTGTCTAGTTAGACACCGACACTGGTGCATTTACTGTGGCTGGAGCTTGTGCTGCTATTCAGCAACTGACAATGCCATTGAAGTCTCTTCCAAGCAGAGATAGAGTGCCAACTTTATTCTCGATCAAACACAATTTCAATTGCCTTTCACCACCACGGGGCAACAAAGAAAAGGTAAAGAATTCCTCTTATAGTCTTATAGTTTTAACATAATAAAAGCCTCATCAACACAAACTCTTGGGCATGTGGCATCATACATTCTCTGTGACTAAATTAAATCGAAGCAACTAAATAGTTCTGTATCAACTGGGGGTTCTGATTGGCTGCCTCTTGAAAAAAACAACTACTAATCCTTTCATACTGGCATTCGAGATGGATTAAATTGCATATTCACATCTGAGCGATTACAGGTAAACAACCCACTATAACAGAAAACTTTGTGTTCACCATTTTCCCTGTTTGCATCACCGAGCTACTGAGAACAGTAAACAAATGAGAAAACAGGACTGCATCGTTTCTGCGACAACGTTTCGCCAAACTCCAGTTTAGATCCTAAAAACAAAGCCAGTGTGAAAATTCACACCGTAACCAAGCATTGTCTGGTGTGACAGGGCGATACCAAAGATACATGTTTGTGAAAATTTGTATATAACAATAATAATATTTTCATTATAAATCCCTCTGATAACGATCGGGGAGGTTCAAGAGTGTTGTTGTAACACTAACAGAGATCACAAAATCAGGTTTTGATGGAAGAGATCATCAACTGAATCAATATGCCATAGGGGCACAGTCATGCTTTTGTCTGCATGACTAATTGATACCTTTAAAATGAGTGTGCATGCACAAGCCACAACCACAATGTCTTTGACATTAGTTGCTTTAAAGTGTTTCTTTGTCATGAAAAAAGTTCACAAACCACTGACGTAAATGACAGACTTTTGTATATCAACAGCAGCAGCCTGCTCCTAGTAACCTTTAAATCATATCAGTATCCCCAGAGTAGCTAACATAAGAAGGCACAACATGGGAGTACTGAGTAAAATGTGGCCTTCAGATTAGCTTTAGAAACAACATGCTACCATTATTTCTTCATCTACTATGGTAATCACACCAACACTCCAAACACACTTTGTTATCAGTTTCTTCTTGCCTTTTACTGGCCAGTGAGGTTGGAAACAACCAAGATTTCTGTCTCTGTCTGAGGTCTTATAATCACTCCAGCTGTAAATCAGACAGCAGCATTACAGCAAATTACAGGAACCACTGGGCTGCATATCAACAACTCATTACTGAAACAAACACATGAAACACATGGACACATCATTTGATCTGTAACAATAAAATATCTTACCGGCTTATGATAATTAAAGATGCTTTTCAATTAGGAAGATAACAAAACATATCTACAAATAACATATTGAGGCATACACAGGATTAGATCTGGTTTATCAGTAAACTGAAGACACCAAAAGTGATGGACTCTGATCTGTAGAGGCACTACTACATTCTATACATCTGGTCTTCAAAGAAATACATCCATTAAAGTAAAGATGAAGACAAATGTATTTAAAGAAATCAAATACAAGGTGTTAAACGTGTTTCATGGCGGCTAACTTTGGCCCACGGGCCCACTTCGGACAGCCCTTAGCATGAACTCGGTTGTTAGGCTTTGTGAACATCCACATTGCCAGCTTATTTATTTGGAATTTGACTGCCATTCAACGCCATTGCCATCGTTTTATTATGATAAAAAATATACATGCCCTGTGTCCTTTTTCTCCAACAAGTGACCCATTGTGAGAGTTGAAAATAACAGCCCAGAGGGATCTGTTATACAAGAGAGCAGGACAGATGGCCAGAAAATACCAAGATGCCACAACCGTTTTATGATGCCAACGCAGATCTGCCTGCTGAGCTGAAGAGCAGAGACCCATGCACTCCTGTGCGTGTGTGCGTTTTTATGAATGTGAATTTGAGGTACGACTTTGTCTTAAAATCTGATGAAAATAACACAAAATAAAGTGACGTCTGAGTAATTTGGTAATTTCCTTGCATGCATTTCTTCACTTTTCTCATTCTTGGTCAAGCAATAAAAACACTAAAATTAATCACTGATCAAAAGTGTGTCCAAACTTTGCCAAACCAGTTTGCTTATTGCCAAAACCAAACTGTTACCTAACCTCTTCATGTACAAACACATTAAAAAGGGGTGTGTATTGCCTTTGTCACTTAATTTTCCCATGACGAGGAATGAGGAATATTCCATGAGTAAAAAATTAAATCCTCATGATCACTCTGTAATCTGAGCAGCATTATATGAGACTTATTCAGAACCAAAAAGAGGCTTTTGTAGTGTCTCCAGACATTCATACCTGAGAGCTGCCCAGTGTGACCACAGTCTTCTGCTGCAGCTCCACCGGAGCCACTTCAACTGCTGGAAATAAAAGACATTTGTCTTTCCCTTTCCCCAAACAGATTCCACTTGTGGGCCCCAGGATTTAAACCAACAACCTTTTGGTCTGACTCCAGCTTCTTTAACCTCTTAAGCCACTGCCACTGCCACGGCTCTCTGTTATTGTGCAGTAATGAAAACTTCAGAGGCTAATGAGTCTGAATTCCTCTGAAATTGACTACTGGCGCAGTCAGCAGGATGTAGAGACACAGCAGCCTCATTTTTATACTGTTTACTCCTCAGAGTTTTTAACCAGTCAAATGGAGCTTCTATCTGCTGCTGTTTGTCAAACGTTCTACTATTATCCCTCACAGTGTGAACATATTAAATGATAGCATTTCTTCCCATTCGGATTTAAAACTCCACTCATTTGCTTTTACTTCATATTCATCAAGTTTCACTCATGGGTCTTCACTACACATTCCTTTACATCTCCCCAATCATTTCTGACTTTTGAAAACCCAGTTTTCCTGCAAATGCCATCCATGATATTTTGTGAAGCATTGTAATAATAACATGACAATATCTGTAATCAGGTTGTTTGCAGGTTTTCAATGTGACTGAGAACATGAGTCAGTCCTTCTGTTTTACATGTGCCTGTAGAACGTGACTTCATATGGCCGTGTGAGTGTGTTTATTTTAATGTAATCAGTGAGATGTCCTCCCATTCAGCTGAGGGGCAGCAGTGACTCATGTGGGACAGAGTGTTCTAAAAGTGCCCATGAACTTATTTGTATAAGCAAATGTACTGTGATGTTTAGATGCATGTGTATTTATATGAGAGAACTGTCTGCCTTTCTACCTTTTTCCGATTATTATTTCATTTTAATTCAAACTGCTGCCATTGTCTTCTTGATGGTTGTTTTCAGTCAGAGGAAGCAACCTCGACCTGGTCACAATATGACGCTGTAAGTATCCGTCCAGCATCATTTTTGGACTCATCTGTCATCAAATACAGGTGATGTAGAATAAAGAGCGAGACAGTCCACATATGGAGGTTGTGGGGTGGATGGAGGCTCAAACAAACACAGGCCTTTAACCCAGGAGACTGCTGTTAGTGTCCCATGTGAAAGTAAACACTCTGGATTAATGTTATTTAAATTTATGTCAAGTAAGTTATGTTGTATTTGTGTACTTAAGTTACATCACGTATGTTATGTAACTTACAACCTTAACCTTAAGTAGTTCTTGTGCCTGAACAAACAGTGTAAACCACGCAAGCTTGGATGTTGCATATTTATCGCTGCTAATGTTACCGCAGGTCCAGAAATGGTGCTATTGGAGTGTCGCTGACCAAGCTGCAGTGTTTGACGTGTCGGGAGCGAGAACGTGTTGGTATTCTCTGACACCATTTTATATTCACACTGAGGCCACTTTAGCCATTGCATTGTTATCTTACATTAGGTAAGTTTACAAAGATCATCCTTTGATTTTGAGACATCTTGTTACTTCCTCACAGCAAGAAGGTGCTGGGGATTTTCTATGCGGAGAAGGTTAGGTTGATTGTCGACTCTAAATTTCCTGTAGGTGTGAAAGGTTTTCTGTCTTTATGTTTCAGCCCTTTGATTGACCGGCGACCTGTCCAAGGTGGTGGGTTCCAGCCCACTATGCAATCCTCAAGGGTTACTATGGAGTATGGAGTCTTGTAAAACAAACATTAGCTTGCCTACATTCTGTAATTCTCACCAATGCATTGTGTTTGAGGTTTAACAAATGTGTAAAGTGCACTTCCTTCATCATAAAATGATTTTTATGTTTACCACCAACTGTTTTATGTTTATTTATTTGTTTATTTAGATCCCCATTAGCTACGGTACAACAACAGTAGCTACTCTTTCTGTGATCCACATAATGTATTTACAATACCTGGAATAGTGTGAAACCATTTGCGGGATGTAAACTGCGCTGCCTGCTTGCTTGCGGGCATGCAAAATGCAAACAAAGCGTAAAAACATTGCTCAAAACACGATCTTTCACTAGCGTTAATCAAATAACTTTTGTTGCCTAAACCTTACCAGATCAGAATCAGCATGAAAACTCAATCTCTGGTGTCAGAGTCCTGCACTTTGTATAACCACCAGCCACCCTGACCACCTCCCTATGACTTGCAATGCAAGAATGTACCACTTCTTCACTAGAAACAGCTTTCCCACTAAACATAATCCAGGCAGTTTCCCTTAAACAGAACTGGCAAAACAAATTAGTATTATATGAATCAGATTTCTAGGACACAGGGTTGAACCATAAAGAAATGAATGGTAACCAATGGTTGGACAAATATAATGAAATTCTGAAACTCTACAGCGTGTTTTTCAAAATATAAAAATAGATAAAGAGATAAATAATTGCAAAACTAGTGGCATGTTCTTTTACAGTACTGTTAAACAAGACAAGACTATATAACAAGACCTGAGGATAGACTGATTAGAGCAAATGATTACCTGTGTAGGGACTTTGTCTGTCAGAGCCGATCTGGTCTCTGTTCCTGGGGACTGGCGCTTGGTGTACATTATGGGACTCGTGTCTAGTCAAGCTCACCGTGCTCTAAGTTCTGGCTGGTGGGTGCCGTTTGCTAATCTTTCACAGCTGCTGCTGGTGAAGATACAGCGAGGATGCTTAGATTAGCTGTGGCCCAGTTGTGAGTTTAGAGTTCTTGGCGGCTCCTCAGTGTGAAGAAGAGCCTTCATTTTACTGTGCCCGGAGGTTTATTGGAGCGACTCTTGCTGCACGAGCCTGGGTAAGTTATGTGATTTAAATGGCTCCATTCCTCATTGATCATTGGTCTATTTCAATATCAATTAGTTTTTAAAAGGTTTTTTATTCCAGTAGTTTGAGGCAACAGGGAGTCATTGGGGCTTGTAGTGTGTTCACATCATAATGTACAATAAATATGAGTAGTCAGGTGGGGAAAGCCTTCTAGCAGCAATTACAATTATAAGAGGAATGTCTGATGGCTACAGGGTCTCCCAGTTTGTGGATAGAACTGCAGGAGCGTCAACAAACAGATGCCAAAATGGCTGCAAAGCTGCCAACAAGGAAATTCAACGTAAATAAAATCTGAAATGAATGCAATTTTAATTAAAAAGTAGCTATAAATCCCACACAAACCCACTCGTTTAATCAGGTTAATCTTGTTAACAAACCACTTCAGTTCCTAAGTTTGCTGCAGTAAAAGACTGCAGCTGCACACTGAGTGGTTCAGGTTATTGGAGCTGCAAGTTAATCAGATATCACAATGGTAAAACTGGTTTGTATAGCCCAACATATATGCCTTATCTTTAGTTACATCACACACACCTGGGTCTTCTGTTGGTGTGTGTTTGTGTGGTTTTCAGTCACCTGTGTCTGTAGGGGGGGGGGCAGGCAAAGCGTGAGGCCTTAGAGAAATTAAAATGACAGAAGGTCATTTGGAAGGAGCGGCGAGCACACGCTACAACACGTGAATGCATGAAAACGCTGCCAGACTCTGGTAGGCTGGAGATGCTTTGCAGCCACATCACCTATTTCTTAGCAACCTCATGCTGCGCTATCATGGCGGATCATCAGAGAATGAGTTGTTTACAAAACATGTCAAACAGGGTTTAAGGACGAGAGACGGCTAGAAGAATTGTGGTATAAACACTGAACATCACTTGTTCCTGATGTTGATTGTTTACACATTATTTTATTCAAATGTTTTGGGGTAAAATTTCTTTTTGCATTTGAGATTACATCGTATTTTTCATGCAGGCATTTTTGACTGTTTTAAAATCAACAGCATTTTGAACTCTCGTTGCTTTTTGTGTTTTTTTTTTTTTTTTTCATTTTACATTTTTTAAAGTACCCTGTTTCCAATCTTTGTATCAAGCAAAGCTAAGCTGACTGGGTGCTCCTTCATCTGAGTTTGGTAAGAAAGCAAATAAGTTTATTATGCAAATGTTTAACTTCTCATATGCCTGGCCCTTTTACAACATAAATATGGCGCTGTTAAGCTTGTATTTCAGTCTGAAAACCAAAACTAGTTAGCCTAACTTGCTACTGTTAGCACAGATGCCCACTAGCTGTTACTTTTCATGCATTATTGTTTCAAGAACTGCTGAGTCAAGAGCAGCAACTGCATGCGATGCAGTGAGTTGAGCTGTCCTGTGACCTCAGCCCTCCGTTTGTTACGCCAGGATTCAAATCACGACAAACGTATGGAGTCACAGAGAAGCATAGGCATGCTCAAATCACAGATTGGTGTTACTGTAATTTTTTGATTTTGTCAGTAGGATATACCCCTTACACCAGGTACACAGTAAATATTCCCTTGGATTCTGGACATTCAAACAAGATAAAATAAGATTAGATAAAATAATCCTTTATTATCCCACAACAGGGATTTTCTTTTTTAGTAGTGCAAACAGCAGGGAAATAAAGTACTATAATTTTTTATATATATATATATATATATATATATATATATATATATATATATATTGCAAAGACATAATTAAACATATCAATTGCACAGATTCTCAGTCCCGCTATGTAAACCTGTATGTAGTCTCCAGGGGGAGGTGCTGATTATAGATCCTGACAGCAGCAGGAAGAAAGGACCTGCGGTACCCATAACGTGTAGCAACCTGTCAGTGTGCCCTGCATGGGATGGGACATGTTTTCCATCATGGAAGGATAATTTATTCATTATCCTTCCTTCTCTCACCACCCCCACTCGATCAAGGGGGCATCCAAGGACAAAGCTGGCATTCTTAATCAGCTTGTCCAGCCTCCTCCTGATGGCCGTTGAGATGCTGCTGCCCCAGCAGACCACTCTGTAGAATATTGCTAAGGTCACCACAGAGTCATAAAAGGTCCTCAGTAGGGCCCCCTGTACTTTAAATGACCTGAGTCTCCTCAGCAGACAGAGTGTGCTCTGACCCACAATGATGAGAGCAAAACCGATGAGTTTGATGTCCATATTGAGCAACGGGTTAAAAACAAGGCTAAAAAGCAGCAGAGCAAGACTAGAACACTAAAAAAGTGCTGAAACAGGCTATCATTCACGCAATGCCGGAAATGGGAAAGGAAGCCTGGAAAAGAGTGAGTGATTATGGACACAGCAAGCATCCATGTGAGGTTCATGTTGTGTTAAGTTTTTCTGTCAAAAATGTTGCAGTAATGTGTTTTGCAATTAAAATCTAAAAATACATCCTCTGTGTGTGAGAGTGTCAATTTTGACCTTTACTGTGGGAGCATTTCACTCAAATCTCTTAAGAGCAAAGCGAAAAGTACTGACCCAGAAATGCTAATCCTCTCTGGACAGGGGTTCTAAACCTTTTTTTTTTTGTGCCTTTTTAAAAAAAAAGAGAGAGAGAGAGAGAGAGAGAGAGAGAGAGAGAATATGAAACAGCTTACTGGCTTGTAATGTGGCAGTTACAGTACACACCTGGCACCTGGCGCACCTGATGATTCATCTCTCCTTTTTTTCTCCTGTCGGTTCATATTTCACTCTCCCTGCTATTGCTGTCAAATGAAAACTTTGTATCTCCAAAAAGTCACATCAACCTGGTTTTCACATGACAACAGCAACATGCACTGAAGCAGCAGCACGTGGTGTGGTTAGCATGTCCGAGCTTGTTAATATAAATAGGTCCTGGTTTGTTATGACCACGGCAACAATACTGTACGTGTCTGAAGGAGTTAGTTTCATGCTGTTGGCTTCCCACCGGACCCTTTGTTTGAGACCTAAAGGGTTTTTGTAACAGTCTGTTACAGGACAATGCGTGGGATAATGTCATGTATGCTGTAATTATCAGGGACCAGTGGACAGGAGTTATTTCACCGTGGAAAAATAAAAACATGTTTTCGGGAACTGGTTACTTGTGGTTGGTGCTTGCTGACGCCACCCACATGAGGAGGAGACATTTCAAATTACCAGATGCACAGAGCACAGTGTGTGTGTGTGTGTGTGTGTGTGTGTGTGTGTGTGTGTGTGTGTCAGAGAACAACAATATGCAACCATTTGACAATTAAAATAACAAAAGTAGCATATTATACATCAGAGTTTGGTTTAGTCTTTATATGTTATATGCTTCTGTTGTCTTTGCAACAGTATACTTTGCTGGTGTTTACGGTTGTTTTTGACGTGTGACACTTGAGAATGAGACAGGATATGAACCCCGGTCTCCCTGTTGTCAAATGCTTTGTGCACACATCCACGGAGCACCTCACTTGGTTGTGCGTGGCTCCTGTATTTACAGACCATGCAGTGATTTGACTGATGACAGAACACTTGAGACACAGAGATATTTGCTGACTTACTTCAAACCTAGAGTCATTTGAGCAGATACAAAATCTGCATGTATCCCCCCGTGCCTCCTGACACATTCCTATAAGCTTCAGTCTAACAGCCAGTCATAAATTATTTCACTCAATTATTTGTTTCTTCAAAGCCTTTTGCGGCTGCCTCTGGAAGATGGCAGGATGAAAAACCAATGAAGCTAAATGTTAAAATGTGGCAATCATCAGAATGATATAATCGCCATCTGCTTCTTTTCCACCTGTGGAGGCATCACGGACAGCAGCCTCAGCCTCAGGAGAGAAGACTGACAGGTTTTAATGAGCTGAGGGGGCGGACAGCAGGAATAAACACATACTGTACTTCCTGTCTTGTATATATATGATTTTCTTTTTGTTTTTATTGATTTTATTAGATAGAAGCAGCCAAAGAAAGACTGGAAAGGGTGGAAAGAAAGGGTATGACATGCAGCGAAGGGCAACAGGCTGGAATGGATCCTG